TATGTGAATTTTTAGAAGGAAATGAATACTTCATTCCTTTTTCGCTTCTATTTTTTTAAACACAACTGTTTGGTTCAAAATTTTTATTAGCCAAATTCAGAAATAAGCTTGATATTCTTAGTGATCTACGACAGGTCTTTAGTCAAAAACTTAACATTTATTTATGCGGTATATGTATACATATGCACTCCGACATACGCGTATGTATGTATGTAGATAATGAAGTATTTATTGTTTATTATTTATGTGAACATTAACGTTTAAGGTGAGCAAGTTCGGTCAAGGAATTGTTCTTTTATTATATTCAATAGACTATATGTGTATATTTGTATATAAGCAGATAGGCACTTAGGTTTATATATACATATATACATACATACTTACTTAAGTATCTAATGGTGCACATATTTTTATGGCATCATTTATGCCGCTGCTGTTATTTTTACAATGAAAATTTTCGACACTTTATCAAGTTTATGTGAATGTACGAATACATATACATATGTACATGCATATGTACGCAGAATTTAACGAGAACAACCTCCAAACGACCAACCAGCATCCTCATTGCCTCTAAGTGGCACTTTTTTGATGGCACACAACTAGCTCAACGCCGGCAAGTAGAAGCCATTCACCTTTTAGTAGTTGCTTCAATATATATATATATATATATGCATATGTTTGTATGTATGTATGTATATGGATTTATTTATCTTTAATGCATGTATATTTGTACATAAGTGTGTTTGTATAAATCATGGCATTCACTACGCATACCGTTGTGGCTTGTCTAGCTGCTCGACTAACTAGCTGCATACTTACATACATACGAGTAAACGTTCAGATACATACATTATATACAAACAAACGTTAATGGGTTCACTACTTGGGTGCTGGTTCTGGTGCTGGTACTGCGCTCTGCCTCGTTGGGCCATTCACGTTTCGTACATGTAATTTGTGGCGAATTCGCGTTCAGTTCGCAACATAAAAACTGGTTCTGCCACTCAATAACGCTGATGATGACGACGATGATAAATAAACTTATGCTAGTTCACTATCCGAAAACAAAAATTAATTTCGAGCAGCAGTCAAAGTGATTTAATTATTATCTAGAAACCTCAACTTACTTAGGCTCTGGAACCATAAATATCGCTTATGTTTATTTGTGCTTTATTTATAACTATTTTGTTTTTGTTTGAATTATTTTTTTTATTTTATTCCTAATGTTTTTCACCCCATTTTCTTCTTTTTCTTTGCTGACTTTATATTTATTTAATTTTTGCTTTGTTCGCATTTTTTATAATTTTTTATTTTTTATATATATTTTTTATTTTTTATATATTTTTTATTTTTTATATATATTTTTTATTTTTTATATATTTTTTATTTTTTATATATTNTTAATTTTTTTTTTAATTTTTTATTTATTTTTTTATTAGTTTTTAGTATATTTTTTTATCGCCTACGCGATTATAGCCGAATCAGTTATAGCGCGGCATTCTTCTCTTCTTTTGGCTGTTTAGCGCCAGTTGGTGGTACCAAGTGAAGCTAGATCACTCTTCACCTGATCCTTCCAACGGAGTGGATATCTTCCTATTTTCTGGTTTCACTAACGGGTACTACATAGAATACTTTCAAAGCTGGAGTGCTTTCATCCGTTCGGACGACATGACCTAGACAGCGTAGCCGCTGTCTCTTCATTCACTGAACTATGTCAATATCATCATATAGCTCGGACAGCTCATAGTTCCTTCATCTGCGGTATTCGCCGTTTCCAATGCGCAAAAGACAATAAATCGTTCGCAAAACTTTTTCCATAGCCGATTTATCAGCTCTTGGCATCTTCCAAACCTCAGCGCCATATAGTAGGACGGGTTTGATGAGTGACTTGTAGAGTTTGGTTTTCGTTCGTCGAGAAAGGACTTTACTTTTCAACTACCCACTCAGTCTAAAGTACCACCTGTTGGCAAGAGTGATTTTGCGTTGGATTTCCAGAGTTTTGCGGGGATACGAAATTCAGACATAGCGGCATAAAGGCAACTCCTTCTCGTGCTGGCGACGAAGAGGTGGTGTGTGCCAATTCTCTTTTCACGGGTATTTTCCTAGATCTGGCGCATGGTGAATATCTGGGCAATTGTTGACTTACCAGGTCTGAAGCCACACTGATAGGTCCAATCAGTTTCTTGACGGTGGGCTTCACATTAAGCTTGATAGGACCTTGTATGCAATGTTAAGAAGGCTTATCCCACGGTACTTGGCGTTTAGGTTTCAATCGTCAGGCATGCTTTGATCCGACCATATTTTGCAAATAAGCTGATGTATGCACCTGATCAGTTCTTCACCGCCGTATTTGTATAGCTCGGCCCCATTTAATAGGAATAACTAAAACTACTTTAAAAATCGGATTAATCATGGTAAGCTTCAAAAACAGTAAATTTATAATGAATAAACTTAAATATTTTTTCTTTATCAAAACGGCAGGTTAGAAACATTTTTCTGCACAAAACTGTATTTGAGTGCATTTATTGCATCAACAGTTCCCACGCGACTATTTGTTTTGCCACTGTGCAATGTATGCAAATCGTTCGTTGCCTCCACTGTTTACATATGGTTATATTTTTTTATAAGCCCATTTGCATACATACATATGTACATATATGCCTGCAGAGCAAATGTAAATGTTTGCACACGTGCGAAGCGCAAAAGCAAACAAATCCTCTCTCTCTCTCTCTCTCTCTCTCTCTCTCTCTCTCTCTCTCTCTCTCTCTCTCTTTGCGCCGCCAATAGCCAACAGCGGTTAACTTCGTTGGTGTTTCGATGTCATTCTATAATTATTTTGTTAATATATTTTCACTTGAAAGTGCGTGATAATTACACTGGTCGACAGCCAATATGCCACACAAGATCTGATAGATAAACGTGTTTCAAGCGCCCACCTTCTTTACGAAAATTTACTTCATTTGTATTAAACATGCTCAGTTTTCTTGTTATAAGATCAAGCTCAGTTTGCATCTCGACCAAAATGATGGAATTTTCTACAAGAAAAAGTTAAAAAATTAAAAATAAAACAAGACGAAGACAACACCTCTTCTTTTATCTTTCAACATGCCGAATTCTCTGCACGAAGGAACAACTTTATGCCGAATCAGTGGGTGGTAGGGGGGTGATACTTTCAGTGAATCATAATTATTTTAAATACGAGGTTTAATTGGAATCAGACAATTGGTCTTTAAGCTATCATCAACTTTGCAATCGGCAATGGAACGTGAAATAACGACAAATGCGACCATAATAAATGAGATGTCATTGGTTTACGACGACTCTTGTCCGCGAAAAACCAATAAGTATAAGCGTAAAGTTAATTTAAACAAGCGAACACCTTAAAGACAATCCGATATCGGGCAGGAACATCGAGGTGGCCAAGCCAGAACTTAGCTAAAAAGTTAAAAAAAAATTCTGCTCGACGATGCTCGACTAAAGAAGAAACAACCCGCAGAAAGGATTGGAGTATCTGATACAACCTCTTTTAAACTCCGAGGATACTCACGCCACCGCAAAAAAAACCGCGCGTAGAGTGTCCACGTGCATTTTATGATCTCTGAAATAAAGGGAAAGATGGTTTATCGAGTCGAATAGTTACAGCAGATCATCATTATGAGCCTTAATTGAATCATGAAGTGGCATTTCCTAAGCGGTTTCTGTTTCATGACACGATCTTTGAGGATTCGGAAGAAATATTATTGATGATATAGACGAAAATGTTTCTATGTATCGACAGCATCCTCCATCATAATTTTGGATTATGAACTTAGTATTTTATAAAAGCTGATCAGTCAGCTGTGATCGCGTTTCGTGCTTTAAAACAGTAGTCTCCCTTAGAACCCGAGGCGATCGTTTTTTCAGCAATTTCTTTTGAAAAGAAAGGAAACTATTGCGGTAAACGAAGTTTTCAGCCAATAATATACTATATTTAAGTTTCAAACAAAATTATCATTATCAAAAAATAATATTGGAATTTTCCAATATCGTGATGAGCTTTCTTAAGCGAATGCAGTCAGAACTCATGAAATGGTGATGAAGGTCGTGCGATGCATTTGAAACAGTCGAATCCCATTTATTTTTTTTTTGTAATTTTTATGTTTATCTCTTCTAAATAAACTAAAAAATTCCGAGCAAGTTGGAAAAAAATTCCCATTTTTGAAAAAAAAAAAATTCACTTCAAGTTGCAATCGTAAAAAATAATACTTCATCCAACTTTACCGAAGTAGAACATTTCGATTTTTTTTCGCTGGGATATAAATATACTTTTTTGCTATCACCGACACTTGTTAAAATGAAAACTCGAGAAACATTTCAAAATTCTGTCCGAACCTGCTCAACGCTCGGCCACTAAAACTGCTCTAGCTTCTAAAATATGTGGATAATTTTAGAATAGATTCGAGGAAAAAATACATTTTTTGTAGCCTCACATGTGCACCTAGTCGTCCAATAGCTCAAGCAGTTGGTAAAATTTAAAAGAAATTTCCAGAGACTGCGTCGGTTACAGAAATTGTTTTTAGTTTTTTGTCCAAAATTGTTTTGAAAACATCAAGTTTAAGTCATATACAATTTTTAGGAAAAATATATTTTTTTTTTTATATAAGAAATAGAGTTTTCTTTGCCTTTAATAAATTGTAAAATAGAGAGAAGAATACTTAAGCCCATTTTAAGTTCCAAAAATTGGGATAACTTCTTTTGCGTTTGCGTTTTGTAAATAAAAAGTCATTTAACTTAAGAATTAAAGAGTAAGTCAACACAATTTAAAAAGTAAAAAGTAAATAAGCGAAAACCCATAACAAATATTGGCGTGCAATTGATAAAACGAAACGAATTTTCGCATAAACTGATGATTAATGTATATCCGACGCTTCTTAAATACAATTATCAACATTGCAAGTATTCAGTTCTTTCAATGAGTTTTCGGATAGTGGATCGAAAACATTAAATTCATATAATCAATTATGTTTTTGTGGCTTTTAATTGTCGCCTGTGCGCTGATCGTTTTCTACATGAAATGGATATACACGTATTGGCAACGTAAGGGCTTTCCTTACCTCGAACCGAAAATACCATTTGCGGTGTTGGAACCAGTATGTAGGCGAAAGGCTTCATTGGGCATTGCCATTTACGATGTCTATCGCAAGACGAAGCATAAAGTGCTCGGCATTTACCTGCTGACAAGACCAGCTTTGCTTATACACGACGCTCAATTAGCTAGAGATATATTGACTAAGGATTTTGAAAGTTTTCACGATCGTGGCGTGCATGTTGACGATGAAAAGGATCCACAATCGAGAGGTGGCATATTCTTTTTAAAAGGTCAAGATTGGAAGAATTTACGTATTAAGCTATCCGCATCATTTACATCGGGCAAACTGAAGGCAATGTTTGATACGATTGAGGATGTGGGTGATAAAATGGTGAACTATTTGAATGGGCAATTAAGAGATGACGATGTTAAAGAGTTAGAAATGAAACATGTTATGGGCACGTGAGTGAATTAATTAAACTATGTTTTAAATGATATTAAATTAAGTAAAATGGAAAAAATTCAATTAAAATAAATCAAATAAGAACTAAGCTTAAATGAAATAAAATAATATAAAAAATAATAAAAAAAAATTTACCTAAAAAAAGATAAAAAATAAACCAAAAAATTAAACCAATAAAAAAAATCAAATAAAGTATAACTTAAATTAAATAAAATATATTATAATTATAAATATAATTAAATAATAATAATGATGATTAACTAAAACTAATGTCTACAATAACATCAGCGAAAAAAGGAAAATAAATACGATTAAATTAAATAACAAAATAAAACCAAAAAAAAACAAAAGAAATCAAAAAAATAAGTTGTATAAAATTAAAAATAAAGTAAAATTTAACGGTACAAAATGAAATAATATAAAACAAAACAAAGTTTAAGTGTTATATAAGTTTAATGAAATATAATAAAACAAAAGATATTAAATTAAACAAAAAATTAACGAAAACCCAATAAAGTAAAACACAGTAAAATTAAATAAAAAAATATAAATTAAAAAGGATATAAATAAAAAAACATAACTGAAAAGAATTTAAATAAAGTACTGTGAATTTAAATAAGCTAAAATCAAAAAAGAACTAAAAATAATTTAAGGAAAATAAAATTAAATAATCAAAAAAAAAATAATAATAATAATAAAATCAAATTAAATAAATATAAAAATATAAAATAATAAGATAAAAAATTATTTAGAACTAATTATTTAATAATAATTTTAATAACTATATAGAAATTAAAATCAGATAAAATAAAAATTAAACAAAATAAAATTAAAAATTAAATAATACAAACTAACTAATATTAAGCAATAATAAAATAACTTAAATATAATAAACAAAAAATTAAAAGGGAATCAAATAAAATTGGATAAAACAAAATAAACAAAATAAACAAAATAAAATAGTATAAAATTAATAACAAACATTTTTAAAATAAAAAAAAACCAATTTAAAAAAATAAATTAAATAAAAAGCAAATTAAACTTAATAAAATTAAATAAAAGTGAAACAATAACTTATATCAAATGAAATGAAGCAGAAAAATAAAAAAATTAATAAACATTCAATTAAAAAAAAAAATAGACTAAAATATGAAAATAAAAATCAACTAAACAAACTTAACTAATAACAAAAAAAAAAAGAAATTAAAAAGTAATATTAAAGCACAAAAAAATGAATTTTCAGTTATAAAATACAATAAACATAAAAATATTAAATTATATTAAGTTTGGTAAAATAAAATTATATTTAAAATATTAATAACAATTATTTTTATTAAATAAAACTGAAAACTAAATTTAAAAATTAAAAAAAAAATAAAATTTAACATTCAATTAAATAATATTACAATTTAAATTAAATTACAAATTAAATTAAATTGAGAATTAAATTAAATGAAATTAAAAATAAAATTAAATCAAAAATTGACCAAATTTATATAAAAATAAATAAAAAGGAACTGCTAACATTTAATTTATTTTTTTTCTTTTCTTGGTTTTAATTAAAGTTAAATAAAAATAAATAAATATAAATGAAGTAAATAAATATAAATAAAATAAAAATAATAATTTATTTAAAAAAATAAAATAAAATAAAAATAATAATTTAATTAAAAATAATTAATAACAAATGAAATAAAAAAGGCGAAATAAAAAACTAAAATATATTAAATCAAAAATAGATAAAAGGAAACGTAAAAAACTTAACTATAATAAATTAGAAAAAATAAAACAAAACAAAATAAAATATAATCAAAAATAATAATTTAAATTAAAATAAATTAGCTAAAATAAATTTAAATTAAAGAGTAATAATAGCAAATAAAAAAAATAAAAATAAAAAAAAATGAAAAAATATATAAAATTTAAAAATTAAATATAAGAAATTAATATAAAAAATAAAAATTAAATAAAATAAAATAATACTATATAAAAAAAATATTAATTAAATAAATCAATGTAAAATGAAATAAAAAATGTAATAAAAATTAATAGAGAATATAAAAAAAAATTGTTAAATAAACCAAAAAGTAAAATAAAGTAAAAAATGAAATAAACTTATACTTAACCTCAAAGGTTTTCTGATTGTTTTAAAATTATCTGTGTGTGTTTTTTTATAAATGTATCTTCCAGCTATTCCATAGACATCATTGCATCGGTGATTTTTGGTTTAGAGGTTAATAGCTTTGTGGAGCCAAATAATGAAATACTCAAAGTGAGTCGAAAGGTGAATGAACCCACATTTGGTAGTGTCTTACGTGGCACATGCCAGTTTTTATATCCCGGGTAAGATTTACGAGAAATTTCATTGATTGTGTTGTTAAAAATATGTTTTTATTCCATTTTTAATTTGGCTTGTTCATGTATGACAATATTTGGTTTAAATTCATTTATATGCCTGAAAATAAACATTCTACTAAATTAGCAAAATTCTACTAATTAGAAATTAAACAAAATATATATACATATATATAATCGTACCCTTTAACATTTTCGGATTGGTTTTTAATGAATTAATGTTAAATAATTTACATCTACTCAACCAGCTTGGAGAAACTATTCATGCGCCTAGGTTGGCGTGAAGAAGCACCAAATCTGATGCGCGAGATTGTCAGACGCACAATACAAATGCGTGAGGCACACAATATTTCGCGAAAGGACATGTTGCAACTCTTGATGCAGCTGCGCAACAATGGTGAAATTAGTGCCGACGACAATGATTGGACGACAAAAGTGGGTAAAGGTATGTTATCGAAAAATGTTATCGAAAAATGTTATCGAAAAATGTTATCGAAAAATGTTATCGAAAAATGTTCACAAAAAAAAATCATGCCTATGCAAATTTCTCTTTTCGACACTTTCTTTACTTCTTTGAAAAGTTGTGCAAAAGCCCATGTCCATTGAAATTATCGCCACCAACTTATTTCTCTTCTATGTTGCCGGTTATGAAACGACGGCTTCCATTGCTTCTTTTACCGCCTATGAGTTGTCACGATTTCCAGAAACGTTGGAAAAAGCACAGCGTGATGTTCGAGAAGCTATGGAGAAACATAATAATAAACTCACATATGAGACGATACAGGATATGAAATATTTGGATCTCTGCATAATGGGTGAGTTGGTGATAAAATTCAATGAAATAATTAATATGAAAAATTAATTGCAGAAACCACACGCAAATATCCCGGCCTACCCATACTCAATCGTCAGTGCACACACGATTATCCACTGCCGGATAGCGATTTGGTTATCAAAAGTGGCACACCCGTTATTATTTCATTGTTAGGCTTACATCGCGATGAAAAGTACTTTCCCGAGCCGATGCTTTGGGATCCAGAAAGATTTTTACAAGGCCGATACGATCCCGTCGCCTTTATGCCATTCGGCGAGGGTCCAAGGCAATGCATTGGTATTTTATTTAATTTTGTTCTTTTCTTTTTCATTATTATATGTAAATTAATAAATATATTTTCTCCCCTGCCACAGCACAACGTTTAGGCAAAATAATTGTGAAAGTCGCTTTAGCAAAGTTGCTACTCAACTTCAATATCGAGTTCAATCCGGTACGTAAAGAAATCGAAATCGCCAACTATGGCGTACCGATTATGGCTAAAGGTGGCATAAATATACGTTTATCGAAGCGAAAGGAAAGTAGGGTGTGACTGAAGTAAATGAAGATGCTTTTTTATATATATATTTAATTTTGTATTATTATTCTGTATGAAAAGTAAAAGAACAAATAAAGATTTACCTCAAGCTTAGCTTCGTGCAATACCCCGTTTAGGAGCCTAGTCTTCAAGAAACCCGCTGTTTCGATGGGTTAGGATCAAAAAGAGAGGAAGAATTAAAGGAGTCGGTTCAATGGTAGTCGGTTCAATGGTAGTCGGTTAACAGAACGCATAGACAACCTTTTGGCATGTTGGAGTCGAGGATGGAGTTAAGTCACCGAGATTACACAGGTCTCACTAGAGAGCACGTCCTTGACGGAAGGCTATTTGATAAACCATTCGTGAATGGTATTTTAAGTCTTTCGGTAACATGTTGTTGTTTTAACAAAAGATTCCCCAAATTTCTTTTCGGGGAATATTGCAATTGGCCCTCTTTGGCCGGTTAAAAACTCGGTACTTCCGGTATAAAGACCCAACATTCGCGGGGACAATTAGGTTTTAGTAACCTCTGACGCCAGGCATGGCTTACGGCGGGTTACGTACAAGAGGATAAGAGGGGTAAGAGATCAGTTGATTTTAGTAAGCATGAGAAGAGATGGTAAGTGTCGTGCGGGGTCGCATTGCATGTCGGACATAGTATCTTGTGCTGTTGTTGTAACCGCCAAATTTTCCTCAAATTGGTTTTCGGGGAATATTGCGAGAGTAACTTTCGCTGACCGGATGAAAATCAGGATCGTTCTGATATGAAGACCCGACTGTAGCAGAAACTATTGGATTTTAATTGTCTCTTACGGCAGGCATGCCTTACTACGGGTAATTTCTAGAGCCTATGCTTCATTCTTGATGTTGCTCCGGATGTTGATGTGTGCTCTTTAACCGGGATCATGAATATATTACTGTAACGGTGGTGCCCAAAGGATGTCAAGAGGTTTTCGGTTTTATGTGGTTCTGTATCTTAATGGCAATTGCGGTCGTATTTGGAGTGAAGTTAGTAGTCGGAATTTCCGCACTTTCGGCCTTGGGATTCAGATCTAGTTTGAGTGGTGAAAAGGGGCGCTATGAATATTAGTAAAGATTGTGAAGAGAGCATGGACGGGTTGTTTGTGAGGAAGAATGTGTTAAAATCACTTACAAAATCTGCTGTGGCATCCACCGAGGTCACATCTTGTCTCCGCTACTCTGAGTCACTCTGGAGAACTTGAGTAGTAAGTTTAATTAACAAAGTCGTCGAAGGCTAATAAACAAAATTGTTGAAACGCCTTTACATCCTTAAAGAGTCACTGTTCGCTGTGCTCTATGGGTAAAGGGAATCATTGGTCAATATTTCTTGATGCCGGTCATAATGTTGGTGTCAATTGGGAACGCTACAGAGTCACGTTTAATGATTTTTTAATGCCTGAATTGGAAAATGTTGATGTGAACGTAGTTTGGTTCCAACAAGACGGTGCTAAATACCATACAACCAACGATCAATCAATTTATTGAATTAAACTTTTGATGAGCGCTTTATCTTGCGTCCTGTGGACCTGTGGCGGGTCCTCCAAGATCGTGTCATTTAACATCGTTGGCTTATTTTTGTTGGGTTATGCGAAGTCGCTTTTCTACGGCCGATAAGCACGAGACGATTGATGCCTTGGAAGTGAATATTCGGCGTTTTAAAATGGGTCTCTCGGCAGCCGAGTCGAGGCAACCTATCACTCGCCCGAAATCAGTTTTAATACAGAATGGCAAATCAACATAATCTTTATAATGATTTTAAATTCTTTTCTTGTTTCTTTTCGAAAACCGCATATATAAAAAAAAACTCTTAATAATAATAACTTATAAATTTTTATTTAAAAAAAAATTAATATTTGAGAATTATTAAAATCTGTTGCAACCAAGGCTCCATCGTAGCGATAAATTTCACGTTTATCGAAAATTGTCTACCGTTTCGTTTGAAACATTTGGAAATGTTAACGTTAAAGCAGTAATCAAAATGAATTTCTTTTCGTTCTTACCCGAAACGAAAATCTGTCGTTAATGTTAAATCGCTAAAAGTGCTGTCGGTTAAGTGTGCTGTTAATGTCCATTTTAAAATTAGAAGATTTCTTTTCGTTATGTTAACATGGCTCCGAACCGAAACACGATTTCATTGCAATGAGTTAATTTTTCTTATTAGTGAAACGAAATGATGTCGATGCGTTTTGTTGAGCATCTCTGGTCGAAACTATGAGAATTTTTTTTTCCAAAATTAAAAGCTTTATTGCGAAAAAGTGCTTACAGATATATCATTCAAAGCATTGTCCTTCGCTAGCGACAACTTTCTCCCATCTTTCCGGCAATTTTCGGAAAACGGCTCGAAAAAAGGAGTCCTCTTTTGACGCTATCCATGAAGCAATCAATGTTTCCAATTCTTCGAAGGATTGAAAATGTTGATCTGCGAGGCCGTGTGCCATCGAATGGAATATGTGGAAGTCAGAAGGGGCGACATCTGGGGAATACGGCGGGTGGGGCAAGACTTCCCATTTCAGCGTTTCCAGGTACTTTTTGACCACTTTTGCGACGTGAGGTCGAGCATTGTCGTGTTGGAGGATGACTTTGTCATGTCGCTCTTAATATTTTGGCCGCTTTTCTTTTAGCGCGCAACTAAGGCGCATCAGTTGCGTTGGGTAGCGAGCGCCTGTGATGGTTTCACCCGGTTTTAAGAGCTCGTAGTAAATCACACCGAGCTGATCCCACCAAATACAAATCATAACCTTGTTTGTCTTCGACATCGAAATCATCATTTTTAAAACGTTGAAACCACTCCCGACACGTTCTTTCACTCAGAGCAGCATCACCGTAAGTTTCTGAGAGCATTCGAGGCGCTTCAGCTGCATTTTTTTTTCGAATTGTAACAGAAAAGTAAAACTTCCCGCAAATGGCGAGAATTAGGCCCATAAATGGAGATTTTCGAGCGTGAATAATACGAAAACAAGAACAACTGTCACTGAAACGGCGATGACAATTCGTTAGTCACTGTCCACACTCACTTTAAAGGCATTATCATCTATGTATTTTAACCAGCCTCAGCCGGTACAGCCACCTATCGGAAAACGGCGGAAGCAAAGTTGTACACCTGATAGAAATCAATTTTTATTTATATATATATAATGAGTAAACTAGTGTAATTATAGTATACTCTATTTTGCATGTCATTACATACGTGTATTATTCAATAAGTATATACATATTTAATATATTTAAATCTATAATATAATTACCTACGGACATGAGAATATTACGACAGTGGGAAAACATCGCATCAATAAATATGAATGCAACTGATAATGCCCATAGGTGCATTCACGCAGCCAGCAACTTGAAATTAAAAAGCTTCACAAAAGTTTATTTACATTTCCCACAATAACTTCCTTTTCACCAACTGACTTTTGCATTACACCTTGAGCTTTCTGGCGCATGAAATATTGACATTTTGTTGCTGCAGAAAATATCATTGAAATGTTATACAATTTATCGATATTACTTTATGTGAATACACCTATCATACTTTAACAAAATCCACATAAAAATTCCATCTTATCAAATGTGGGTATTAAAATGCGCAGCAAATTTTTACTATTTCAGTTTACACAATAATGTAATTCAGTTCAGTCACATCTTAGCGCAATTGCTTTACAGTTAGTTATGTTTTTACTACTATTATTAACCGCCTGCACAGCAGCATTTTTCTACATAAAATGGAATTACACTTATTGGCAACGCAAGGGCTTCCCGTACTACGAACCCAAAATACCCTTTGGCGTGCTGGATGAGGTGCGCAAGCGAAAAGCTACATTCGGCATTGCCGTCTCTGACGTCTATCGCAACACCAAGGATAGAGTGGTTGGTATTTACCTAATGACACGACCCGCTTTGCTCGTACGCGATGCGCACTTAGCACGCGACATGTTGACCAGGGATTTTGAAAGTTTTCACGATCGTGGCATACATGTTGACGATGAAAAGGATCCACAATCGAGTGGTGGTGTTTTCTTTCTTAAGGGACTGGATTGGAAGAGTTTACGTGTGAAATTGACACCGTTATTTACGTCCGGCAAATTGAAGGCCATGTTTGGCACTGTTGAGGATGTGGGCGATAAAATGGTAAATTACTTAAATGCGCAATTACCAGACGAGGGTGCAAAGGAGGTGGAAATGAAGAGTGTAATGAGCACGTGAGTGAATAAGGTTAAACTTCAATAATAGAAAAGTAGTGAAAATGATAAGAATATATGTACAGCTGTACCTACAGGCAATCAGTTCGGGATTACGCTTTTTTATAGCCAAGATAAAAACAAAACAAATTAATTTAGTTTCATGGCTTATAATTTATTAGAAAGAAAAATGAAATGTTTTGTGTAAACTACCTAAGTTTTTTAGAAAAATATTTTTATTATTTTGCTATAGATTACTTTAGTTATTATCTTCATGTTCCATTAGAGCAATTGGTTTACGCTCGATACATGGGTGCCACATGAGTTAGCGAGAATCGCTGCTGAGCCGTAACAAGATCGATTCGGATTGTGACTATTGAACAAAAGTGGATCTCTTACAGCAAAGTCAAATGAAAACTGTACTCAACGAAGTGTAGTAAGCCGCCACAAACCGTCTTCAAATCAAGATTGACGGCCAAACTCTTTATACTTACCTGTAATGTCAGCAAATTGAACCGTCTGAAAGCAGTAATCAGCTCAGTAGCGCTCAGCTTTGGCCAACGGAAGGGCAATTGAGTTTCATCAGGACAACGAGAGACCACATAACTTGATACTGCTTGAAAGGTTCCCCTGCATCTACCTTATAGTCAATACCTCGCACCGAGTGTTTACTACCTGTTCCCGTTTATGGCGACTGATTTGGCTGGTGAAGAATTGGCCTCAAGGGATATATGTCAAGAAAATTGTCCAAATTGTCCGATTGTCCAAATTTTTTTTATCAATAGGGACGAGGGTTTATATGAGAGAGGCATAATGGCATTAACTTCCAAATAGCAAAAAGTTAAAAGTGTTGTATATAATGTTGTGATATAATGTATTTCTTTTTACTAGACCAATTATATTTGTTTGTTTTTTTTTTCGACCAATTTATAACTTGTGATTTTAATTTAATAACGATTTTTCTCACTTCCCATGATCCTGTTTTGAAATATATTGTCAACTCAAATGTACTTCTTTTCCGAGAGGTCGCCGAAAAAAACGTCGGAAGTGCGAAGTTTTGAAAAAAAAAATTATGAAAATTTCAGAATTTCTTCTTCAAATATGCAATTTTAAGACAGTAAAAAGATTGAATCAAATATTTAATCTTGTATATATAAAAAATAGTTGAATATAGTCCATTTTTTAAACGAAATAACCAATGTAATCCCGTAATATTTAAAAATAAATACTATTAGGATAATTTGCAATTAATGCAATAATATTCATAATAAAATTCTTCACTTTTCAGCTTTGCCATAGACATAATTGCATCGGTGATTTTAGGCTTGGAGGTGGATAGTTTTGTAGAGCCAAATAATGCCATACGAAATATCAGTCGCAAAATCAATTTACCGACGTTTGGCAATGTGGTACGCGGCACATGCCAATTCCTTTATCCGGGGTAAGAGCAATCACAATGTGTCTACTGATCTCAGTACTATTCTTTTTGAATTAAATTAAATTTTTTTTAATTGCATTTATTTATTTTAAAATAGAATTTCTCACACATAATTTTTCTACATAAATATTATGTAAATATTTTCAAATGCTGCTAAGCAATCATGCAGGGGTGTTATAGAAACCGACAAAGAATTGGTTATTTATCAGAATTGAAAATCAATATCTGTTTGATATGGTGTTGTGAAACCGAATTCATTATGCATTTTTCGAAGATAAGCAAAACCTATATTCGAATCAACTGTCATCACACTTGGGCAAAAAAAAACACCAGCAAATCAATTTAAGTTTTGTACTGTCATTTGTGATCATTAGAAATAAAATGAAATGGAGAAATAATCCATAAAATAAAACGGAAAACTGTAAGGGATAAGAGCAATCCGCTGGAGCTGCCAGAGTCGATATAACTGCAATATGCATTCTACTTATACTATACATTTGCTGATACAAAAATTGTTTGTATGTAGAATCATAGACCAATATCGTCTTAACAATGAAGCCTTTGTAACAGTTCTGGATGTCATTGAAGACCTGTTAGATTGGCTGTCTATACCACATGTGCTCCAACTTGCAGCCACGCTGTGGTTTTTGACAGAAGGCACCTATTAACGGTCCTGTCCTTATCGCGACATACAGTCTCGGTGGTTATAACAGATAATTTAAGGAATGAACCTACAATGTAAAACAGAGAGCTCGTGACCATTTTTACATCAAGTACCGTATTTCAGGCAATGCTGGTTGTAAAATCTATTGTTCCTCACTTACATTTTTATTGAATTTCCGCTTGCAAAGAAATTTGCACACAATTCTGTCAACGAATAAATGATCGGTTTAATTCTAACATTTAAACCGATAAATCGGTTTCTGTAACACCTAAAGCCAACACAAATTCTGGTTCAAATAATACCGATATACAGACCAATAATCGGAATGGTAACCCCTTTAACAGAATTTTGTCGGTTTCAATTCTGATTCCGACAACAATCTGTTTCTGTAACACCCCTGATTATCTGATAATTTATATTTTTTTGGCTTTTTTTTTGTTTTGTATTTCCTTTCTATTTTATTTTATTCTTATTTCATTTTTTTAACTATGTTTTCATTAATATATTTTTTTAAATATATTATTTATTAAATTCAATTATTTCTATTATATTTTTTTTATTATATTATTTATTAAATTTAATTTCTTTAAATATATTTATTTCGATTGTTTTTTTTTAATTTTTTAATTTTTTAAATATTTTTAAATATATTTTTTATTTTTTTAACTTTTTTATATTTTTTAATTTTTTTTGTATTTTTTAATTTTTACTTATACTTAATTTTTTTTATTTTTTATTTTNAATTTATAAATTTTTTTCATATTTTTTTCATATTTAATTTTCATACATTTTTTATTTTTTTATATTTTTATACACTTTATAATTTTTTATATTTTTTATACTTTCTTTAATATTTTTTATAATTTTTCTTTAGTATTTTTTATATTTTTTCTGTAATATTTTTATATTTTTTTCTTTAATATTTTTATATTTTTTTCTTTAATATTTTTTATATATATATTTTTTTTTTAATTATGTATATCCTTTTTTATTTTTTTATATCTTTTTCATATATTTTATATTTTTTCGTTGTTTTATATTTTTCATTTTATTATACATTCTTATAATATTTCTTATGTTTGTTTAATTTTTGTTTTGTATTTTTTTTTTAATATTTTTTATATTTTTTTACATTTTTTATATTTTTTTACATTTTTTATATTTTTTTAATTATTTATACTTTTTGATTATTTTTATTTTTTATATATTTTTTATTTTTTGAATTTTCTTCACAATTTTTACTGTATTTTACTATTTTTTTATAGTGTGATTTTTTAGTACTTCCGTTTATAATTTTTTTATTCAATTATCAATTAGTATCAAAAATGTAGAGAAATTTTTTTTTCCTTATAATGTCTTTTGACTTTTAATTATGCAGGTTGGAGCGTCTTTTTATGCGTTTGGGTTGGCGAGAAGAAGCGCCCAATATGATGAGAGATCTCGTTAAGCAGACCATACAAATGCGTGAGGCACACAATATTTCACGAAAGGATATGCTGCAACTCTTGATGCAACTGCGCAATAAGGGGGAAATTAACGCCGATGATAATGATTGGTCGGCGACAAAAGTCGGCAAAGGTGGGCAATAATGTGGCAATTGAAAATTTGGCCTCTTGGCTAGAATTTATTCGACCCAGCCATGGCGGTCACTTACGCAAAATCATTGACAACAGAGCTAAATTCTTAGTCATAACATTAAATTTTTCGCGTGAAGAATATCTGTATACAAAAACACCCTTTATTTAAAACTACGGATTAAAACATTTTTCTTAAGCCTGCTTCCTTCTTTCTTCCACACAGTGGATTCCAAGCATATGTCCATCGAGACAATCGCTTCGAATCTGTTTCTCTTCTATGTGGCCGGCTATGAAACGACTGCCTCGACTGCTTCATTCACTGTCTTCGAGCTGTCACAATATCCTGAGGTGTTGGAAAAGGCGCAACGTGATATTAGAGAAGCCTTGGAGAAACATGATAATAATTTCACATATGAGGCAGTGCAGGACATGAAATATTTGGATCTCTGCATAATGGGTTAGTTGGTGCTAAACATTTTTTTATTTTTTTTTTTATTTTTTTAAATTTTTTTTTTNATTTTTTTTTTATTTTTTTTTTATTTTTTTTTTATTTTTTTTTAATTTTTTATTTTTTTTTTTTTATTTTTAAATTTTTCTTATTAATTTGATTGCAGAAACCACACGCAAATATCCCGGTCTGCCTATACTCAATCGTGAATGTACCAAGGACTATCCTCTGCCCGATAGTAATTTGGTAATAAAGAGTGGCACACCGATTATTATACCACTGCTGGGTATGCATCGTGATGAAAAGTATTTCCCCGACCCAATGCGTTGGGATCCAGAACGTTTTTTGAACAAAAATTATGAACCCGCTGCTTATATGCCATTCGGCGAAGGACCGCGGCATTGCATCGGTAGGTGGACTTTATGGAGATTATGAAATGTTTATAACAGTATTATAAAAACAAACTGAAAATATGCTTGTTCTTGTTCTCATTAGCTCAACGTATGGGCAGGGTGAATACCAAAGTCGCACTGGCCAAGCTGCTGCTCAACTTCAATATCGAAGTAAATCCTGTGCGTAAGGAGATTGAAATCGCCAATTTTGGCGTACCAATTATTGCTAAAGATGGTGTAAATGTGCGTTTATCGAAGCGAAAATCGACGTAAATTTACTTTTATTGCTTGATTGTTTACTTGTAATATTTGTCCAGATGTAAATTAAACAAAAAATTTAAAACAAAAAATATATTTTTTTTTAGCGCTCAAAACTTTTAGTACGAATTTATAAAAAAAAATATAAATCACAAAATTTTGCAAATCATCTTTATTAAACAAAGAAACAAAAATATTTTAATTTGTAATTTAATCACTCGCTTAGAGTCCGAGATTACTAAGGTTGTTGTTGTAGTCGTGGTAGTAAAATATTACCCAAATTTGCTCCCAGGGAATATTGCCCGAGTTACAGTCCATGGACGGGTTGTTGTGATCCGATTGCCGTCGGAGCTTTTGGATTTTAGTCGCATCTAACCCGCAGAGAGTAGGTCATGGATTTTCGTGCATAGGATCAGTAATGTCTGGTATCTTTCTCCATAAATAAAGCAAAAGTTTAATTTCCAAACTCTAGGAAATAACAAAGACTTGACTTAAGGAGTTTTCCAAACCAAACGGCAAAATGCCTGCTGTATGCTCTCAATAGCTTCACGAATTCAAGATCACAAGATCTTGATGGCTAATTGCAATCGATTCTTCGAGAGATAACACGGTTCGAACGCACTTTGCCTCGTCTTTTTGAAAGAGAACTTTGTCCGAATCAAAATCAACCATTTTTGGCCATAAAAATTCATTAATCACCTCTCGATTGAACAATCCTTTCACCGCTACTGTTGCTCCAGCCTCAATTTCGAAAAAGTAAGGTCCAATGACCCCGCCGGACTATGAACCTCACCAAACAGTTACCTGTTGAGGAGGATGGAAAGGCTCCTCAACATAAATCAGATCGACCAGATGCAACAATTTTGCTTATTGACATAGCGATCGAGATGGTAATGGGTCTCGTCACTCATGATGATTTTTCGATGAAAAATTCCGATTGTTTTAGTTTTCCGCCAGATTTTCATAATTTTTATGGTGATTTTTTTCATTTAACGGTAAGTCCATTAAACGAGCTGTTTCGACGGATGCGGACTAGAACAAAATGGGATTTAGAGGAGTAGGTTTAAGGGGGCATGTAAGGAGATAATTGGTGTGTTGTTGTTGTTGTAACCGCAAAAATATTCCCCAAAGCACTCTTTGGGGAATGCTGCGGGAGTGACAGTCTTTGGCCGGATCAATATCCGGGCCTTTCCGGTATAAAAACCCGACCCGTTCGCGGGAACTATTGGATTTTAGTCGCCTCTTACGACAGGCATGCCTTACCGCGGGTAAATTCTTCATTGCACGCAGGATTCAAGACTGTATAAGTGGGAATTAAGGCGACTACAATATCCAGATCTTTATACTGTCAATATTATACGGGTCTTTCAGGTCTTCAATAGGTAGTGTTTGGTTTCCGAAAACGCTGTTCATTGGAAGAGAGCTCAACAAGGTGTTAAAGCACTCTCGGTGAATGGCGATTTCGATAGGACGTCCAGTTCAGCGGTTCTTGTGTACAGTGCTGAATGGTATATGTGCATACACAATCCCTTCCTACTTTACTTAGCTGAATTGGGTAAAATTGAGTTTCATTGCCTTAAACAAATGGTAAATTCAATGCCTTTGGTTGAATGGTTGGTTAGTTAATACAATAGGAGAATGAGGGCGGGACTGCAAACTATAGAGTATACTGCCTTGTTTTTCCTTTCTATGCATTTGCCATCCATTTGATGATCTGCTTTAGTCATAATGTTCTGAGACAGTACGCCTTTACATCACCTGCCCCACCGAGCGACCAGGGCACCAGGGTCTGTTACCTGCTTCGTCGGTTTCATGCGACACTTCATCTATCTAAGTTATCCGTCTTACTAGTTCACTTGTGGTTATGGGTCTTACGGCACTTTTGTAGAGCCGATACTCTAATTGGGGTAGACGTAAATTGCTTAGAACGGTTTATAAGGCAAAAAAAACATAACTACTAAATATAAGTAATTCTTTTGTGTTTTTTCAATAACATTCATGTGAGTATGTAAGTAGAATGTTAAATGAAAATATAAAAAATTCCTGTTATGAAACCTTTACGAGTATTATATTTTAATGTGAAGCCAAATACCAATATACATACATAAATATTTCAATTGTTTTGCTTATCAGAATGTTTACAAATTCACTTTTGAAACACCGTTAATATGCTCCCATTTATTTACTTCCAGAAGCTTGATACTATCACCTCTCCCAATACATCGTTGTCGACCTTTTTCTTCAGGAATAAAATTGGTACTAGACTAGACAAACTCCAATAATTAATATTGAACAGAACAGTAGGACGGGACGTGATACCAAAAGACGTTGACAGCCACAGCAGAGTCGGTCACATCTATCAACTTCCAGTAAAGGATTAATACATGTAAGATTAGACTTAACCAGACAGAAGTTCAACTTGCCATAGTTTAGTTCTATGAGTTCATTTCTATAGATGTCCAATAAGAAATGAAGCAACTTTAAATTATTGTGCTTGGCTTGGCATTCGATAGCTTTAAATGTCCTTGTTGTAATCGCAAAAATGTAACCGCTAAAATATTGCTTTCTTACGACAGACACGCTTTAGCGGCGATAATTGTTGTGTTACTAACCAGCATGGAAGAGACTAAACTCATTAACTTCGTTGCAATTGTTATCAAAACCACATTGTCTCTATTTAACCGGCCGAACAAAGAAACGTTGTTGTAAACTATTGACGAGCCGCTAACATCTGCACAGCATCCATCGAGACGCCAATGAACCGCACCATGGTACATTTTGGAAGGAGTCATCACGTTGCCTTTGCAATCATCCTTTGTATTTTTCTTAAATTTTTTGTTAACTGTTTTTCTATACCACTATATTAGCAACTTTTGAAAAAATAACGCTTTAAAGTGATAACAGTTAATCCTCGTTCCGCTGTAAATAAATCTTTTCTTTAACTAAATTAATAGAAAACGATTGAATTGACAGAAAGTTGCACAGCAGGCGGCCTGGCTATGCATGCAGCAGCATCGAAAATCGATAATTCTCAGTCGCTAAATTGGCGTAACGTAAGAACAGCTGTTTAATTAGTATAATGAAACTTAATCATGCAAATTCATATATATGTACATACAAAGATAATAAATTGGAAATATGCAATTTTGTTTATTGGTGCATATGCCACTAAATGCTTCCAGACGATTTCGCGAAAAGGCAAAAATCCGGTAGGTATGCCTTACACCGGTAATCCACAGTCACATCACTGAAACTTTCACAAAGCACCATTGCGCAAAATAATATTGTAACCTTTAATATCTATAGAAAGCCCATAAACATGTTCACAATAAATTAAAAGCAATTACTTTTCTTCTTACCTTATCAGATAATTGTTCAAATTTATTGTAATGATTTTCTTGGCTGTTTCAAACGCACTTAATACAAACACAAACACTTTTTTTCGCTGCGACGATGGAAACGACTTCGTTGACTTTACCGGCGCTCTTACGTGTGTTAAAGCGAGACGACTGCTTGAATTCGGATTTGTTTGTTTTTATTTGTAATTGCTAAAGCACAATGGAACTGGTAGACCTCAAAATATTTTATTGGCAAAATTTATGTTTTTTAATCATACGTCTGTACACACGACTTTTCTTAATTAATTGTTTAGCATACAAATTAGAAAAAAAATTCCATTTGCTGATATATAAAAGTTCATGGGTTCGTTATGGCTAGAAACGTATCGAAATCCAACTGCAATTAGCAGTTAACAGCGGCGTCGGCTTCGACAGCGACGAGGTGTTCAAGCGCACAGACGGCCTTTGAGATTTTTTTTTGACGTAGAAGACAAGCACCGAGTTTAGTGCACTTTTTCATAACACGTTTCTAGCCGTAATTCCCTTCACCTGCACTTAAACTGATCGAAATTAAAAAATTTATATTGATTTTTTTAGTATGCGAGTACTTTACGCGCACAAAAACGTAAAATTTCACCAGAAAGTCGCTAAATTCGCGGACGCAACGAAACGAGACGACGTCGATAGAGAGGTTCGGCTAGAGCTGCCAATGTACCGATAATTGGAAAATCACCACACCATAAAAAAAGCCTACAAACATCAAATAATCGTTCCCATAAATATGTATATCGATCTGTCTGAAAAATATACTGAATATTTAGGCTACACACTGGGACGGGTCACAGAAGGACTCTAATATGACCATGTGAATTAAAATTTTGGAATGTCTACGAAAAAATTAATGAAGGAAGAAAACTTTGACGCTTAATGAAGACATATTTGTATTTTCCGATTTTAGATTTTGCCAAACAGAAAACCCCATGAACTAAGTAATTCACTTCATAGTTTCCAACAAATTATTATTTATATATATTTTTTTATCAATTATTTTAATTTTCTTGTATTTGCTTTAAATTCAAATAATCTTAACAAAATATGAGTGCCATCTAAATTTTTACTGTGAATACGTTTTTTCACTAAATATTGTGTCGATATCGAGACACAACGAATGGCATGGTATTTTACTTATCAAAATTATTTTCATTTATATATCAATCATCATAATTATATATCGGCAGAAGTTCAAGCTTTGGAATCAGAAAATTATGGCGCATATTTTTAAAATATCTTGTAAAAACGTTAATGCAGATAATGCAGAATTATATAAGTTCTTTTTTAATATCACAACAATAGTTTTAAAAGATCAAGTAGATATTTCATATAAGACTTTTCGATAACAAAATCTTCCTCATGTTATTGATTTATATTTAATTAAACTTATCTATCGATAACTAAAGAAATATATCCACCCTGTGTTGGGAACCCTCAAAAGTAAGTCAAAAGATAATAGAAAAACTGATGTGGTGATAAAACGAAAATTTTTATAGTTACAAAAAATTTGGAAAGGAGAAACGTCGCAGGTGTATAGATAAAGAATACAATGAAGTTAAATCGTATTTGCTAAACTAAATTAATTGTTCACAGGTACTTCGAAATTAGCGTAAAGGGATTTTGGGATTGCTTGAAATTTTCAATCCGAGCCCTTAATCGCTAGCACAACTTCGGTGCGAATAGAGGCACCAATCACAGGGGTGCAGTTCAACCAAAATACATACATACATACATATATAATAGATTTTTTCAGTATTTTAATAAAATAAACCAATATGGATGGCAATAAGGATGAAGCTGCGCGCTGTATTGATATAGCAGTGCAAGCCTTTGCCGAGGGTAAAATGGAGAAAGCTGAGAAGTTTTTATTAAAAGCGGAAAAACTTTTTCCCACAGAACGTGCTAAAGGTGACAAAGAACAACAACAAAAACATGATTTGCAATTACATATAAAGTTTCTTATAAATTAATTTTATTTGAATCTCATTAGAACTATTATCGAAGGTAAAGACAGGCAACACAACAACTAGTGGCAGGACTGGCAACAATGGAGGTACCAACGGTGCAGGATATTTTGATTCGTCCCATTCTGGAGATGGTCCGCGTAAGCGTAAGAACTCTGACTCGCGTAATGTGGAGCCTGAATATACTAAAGAACAATTAGAAGCCGTGCGTAAAGTAAAAGGGTGAGTATTGATTTTTATGATATTCATGACTTCAAACGATAAAGAATTATAAACTTTCTGTAGATGCAAGGATTACTACGAAATTCTTAGCATTACAAAGGAAGCTACGGATTCTGAAATAAAAAAATCATACAAAAAGTTAGCCTTGCTTTTGCATCCCGACAAAAACAAAGCACCTGGCGCTTCCGATGCTTTCAAAGCTGTCGGTAATGCTGCGGCTATACTCACAGATGCTGAAAAACGCAAGCAATATGATCTATACGGCATGAATGAAACACACACCAGTGGTCATGGTGTCCGCAGAGACACATATGAATTTGGATATGCACGTGGATTCCAGGCTGAAGTGAGTCCTGAAGATTTGTTCAATATGTTCTTTGGTGGTGGTTTCGCTCAGCAAAATATCTATAACCGGCAACCGAGACGTCGACCACATCAACGAGACGAAGGCGAAGTAAGTGTGAATTTTGATTGAGTACATTAAACTTTATTTATGTCTTTAACACTTTATTGACAGAATCAAAATTCTTCGACGCTTATCAACTTTTTGCCTATTCTACTGTTAATTGGATTATCAATGATATCTTCATTTTTCATAACTGATCCGATTTATAGTTTGTCACAATCGCAGTGAGTATTTTTTTTAGAACTACATAAAAAAAAAATACATTAAATATTTCTTTACGTAGAAAATATGCTGTAAAACGGGAAACCAATCGTCTAAAAATTCCATACTATGTGAAGCACAATTTCCATACTGAATATCAGGGATCTGTGGGACGTTTGGAAGAATCCGTGGAAGAGGACTTTATAGATCACTTAAAATATTCTTGTAGTCGTGAACGGAATTACCGTAATTAAACCCAATTAAGCGTATGCATTATTCAAGTTTAACATTATTCTATTTTTAGGTGATTCTATGCTAGCTAAGGCACGTTCGTTTGGTGACCGCGATCTTTTCCGCAAAGCGCAAAATATCAATATGCCCTCATGCGACAATCTACAAAACTATTTAAATACGTAGTTGACATTAAAATCTTCATAAGCATTGTGTTGTCTTTGTTATTATGTTTTTAATGTTCATTTCGCTATTAAAATATAGTCAACGGAATTATGTGTGCGGGTATGGCAATACACAAATGCAGCAACAATAATCCACGGAGCTAACCGTAAAATGATAGTTACAAAAATATAAATATTTTATTCAAACAAATTTTAAGCGAACATTGCGCTATTTTTCGGTTGTCTATAAAATACTAAACTAAAAAATTTGAAGATCCATGAGTATATGAAATATATAAACATAAATCTAAGCATAATATATCTATATATATTAACACTACTGTATTTATCGATGTAATTTACTCGATCTGAAAATAAATGCAGTGGTCAAAAATACAGTATTTTTATTCCACATAAGAGTTAGGCTCATTTTTGGTAGTATAGTAATATATCTCTCCTTAGCATTGGCAAACTTTATGTTAATTTTTCGTTAATTGTATTTAGTATTTTCTTTTTTTTTTACAAAATATTTATATTACAGAAAATTGCAATATTCTTGTGTGCTTCAGAAGTTGGAAGAAGGATGATCAATTGGCAATAATCGCCTCCAAAGCGGCAACCACATCCCCACTTTGCTCTCGCAACACTTTCTCGGCCTGGGCGCGTGTAATTAGCATTTCATTCATCTGAAATATAATAAAAGCTATTAACCACTATTGCTTTGAAAGGATAGATTAAGTTTTTAATTACAATCAGCTCAATATCTTCTTTTTTCACGTGCACCTTTAACAACTCCATTTCTTTCGCTACTTTGCGTTCCTCCTCTTTGCTACGCTTGTTACCGATTTGCTCCACTGCCTGTTATTTAAAGATATTTCATAAGTATTACAATATTTTATTAAAATATATTCATGTATGTAAAACTTACACTGGATATATGTGCCGCCGATATTTCCTTCTCTTCAGCATAGTCTGTCACACGTTCCAAATCGGCTGCACCTCCGTCATGCCGTGTTTGCTTTTTTTGTTTCTTATCCTGCACATCCTCTTCGGTGCCATTAATTTCACTTTCCGACATTTTTGCTGCAAATTCTATTAAACTACAAATTATTTAATTTATTTTATTGTAAAATGTGCGAAATGATGAGACGAATCAGAGGTGAAAAGTAACGGGCAAATGTCAAAGCTATGTTTAGTACGAATATGCCATACTAAAACACATTTAGGGAGTTCACAATGCGTTTTATACATCACCAAAAAAACTTATATTAATCAAGACGAGTATCTAATTTTCGTTACCGAGAGCAATCAAACATAATCTTCTTACTGGCATGTTCAGTTGAGTTTGGATAGTGATAACGTAATGTAAATGGAACGGAAACACTCTAAACGACTGGAGAATAAACAGTGTTTATGGAATGAGCTTAGTTAGAAAACTGTGTTTTTCCAATAAAGTAGGTGGAAAGCAAATTTTCAGCCTTTATTTAACAATACACTGATGAAACTCGAAAACTGTAATACGCGTATTGTGAGTACTTCAAAATACCGATTCCGATAAAAAAAATTAACTTTCTTGGCGATAACAAAGCTAAAAAAATTATTTGCTCTGATGTATTCGGTACTAAGTAATGTCTGATATGGCAGCATTTAATTTCGTTTTAATCACCCATTTCTGGTGTCACCCTTTCATTCGCATTGAAAAAGATTTTACGAACGCTCGTGTCTGCTATACAATTTTTTGTCATACAAAAAATCGTGAAACAAAAGTATTTTAAAAAATATTTTGGTCATAAACTAATAACTACACGGTTAGTATAACTTTGGGATAAAAGTTTAATAATATTTGTTTCGAAATACTTTGGATAAAGTCGTTAGAAGTTTTTTAAAATTGTGCCGTCAAATTTTCAGCGGCATCGCATTGTTTCAAGATGGCGGACAGTGTTAGCTGAATGCTTTACAAAGAAAGTATAGTTAAATTTGCAAACATTGTATAAAGAAAAAAAAATCAGTAAAATCTACGTGAAATGCATTCGTTTTGTAAAAGAAAATAATTTTAAATTAAAAATTAAAATTTTCTATAACTGCTTTGGTGTAGAGCGTTGCGTCGACAATTAAAACTTATACTACCTTGTAACGATTAATATTGATTATTTATAGCAAACATCAGAAAATTTCTAGATTACACAATTTTTTGTTAGTTATCACTCAAATATTGTTAATTATATTCTAGAAATCGAAAAATGGCTACTGACGCACAAGTTAAACAAGAAGATTTTTCCCAAGAATATGCGGACGATGACAACAGCCAAGAGTATGATGATGATCAACAACAAGGTGATGAATACGATGATCAAGAAGATAATGAGGATTACAATGACCAAAGCCAAGATCAAACAAGCAATGGTGGTGGCGGTAGTGGAAATAATACATCGAGCGGTCCGAAATACATACGTTTACGAGGCTTACCATGGTCTGCAACACATCAGGAGATCTTAAATTTTCTTAAAAATGTAAACGTTGTGAACGACTCTAAAGGCATACACCTAATTACAAGTCGTTGGGATGGTAAGAACACAGGAGAAGCGTATGTTGAAGTGCAGGGAGAGGATGACGTGGAGGAGGCTCTCAAGCTTAATAAATGTATGTTGGGACATCGCTATATTGAAGGTAAGAAAAGTAATAAATAATAAAATCCTGCAATTTTAATCACTTCACAATTCCATACAGTATTCGTCGCTAACCCAAAGGAAGCGAAGGAAGCCATGCGTAAAACTGGTAGCCATGGCATATCGTATGTTGTTAAACTGCGCGGTTTGCCATATTCGGTTACAGAACAACAAGTTGAAGAATTTTTCAGCGGTGAGTACCAAATTCCTTGTTTTTTTCAATAATGTTTATTGTGTCATTTTCTATTAATCTTTACAAATATTACTGATTAGGAATTCATTGCTATTTTCATAAGTTTGGTCATTATTAATGCATAAATAATGTTTGCTAATGCATACATTTCTATGTAGAAAAGTTATTAGAAGCTCATTCTTGCCAACAAGGATTTCTTATGAACTTTTAAGTCATAGTGGAACTGCATTTACACGAGTTTAAAAGAACACTGGTGAAGTAGTTTTGGCTAAAAGTATTAACAATTTAATTATGAACATTTTAGTTAGTTTACTAATTTTGAGGTTAGGGAACATAAGTTTCTTTGTTCGAAATTCTTTACTAAAAATCGAATTGAATCCTGGCGCCTCAAATAGTAACAACGACACAACGTTACGTTATTTTCAACAATAATGATGATTTTTTTTATGAAGTTTCTCATAGCAAAGAAAAAGAGACAAAAAAAAAATACTACAAATCTATACAAATGAATTGAAAGAATTCTTAACATTTGGTTGTTATCGTCATGGGCAGGGTTGGAAATCAAACCGGATCGGGAGGGGATACTTTTTGTTATGGACAAAAGGGGTCGTGCGACTGGGGAAGCTTTTGTTCAGTTCGAAAGCCAAGATGACACTGAACAAGCCTTGGGACGAAATCGTTTAAAAATTGGGCACAGGTGGGTTATCAACTATAATTTCTTTGTCTCAAATAATAAACAACATAAATACTACTCTACTTGTCTATTAAAAAAAATATAATCAATATATGCCATTTGATTTTTTATAGGATTGTAGTCTGCTGATTAAGTAAAAAAAAAATTTGAATTATTGTTTAAAATGCACATATAAGTGTGTGCTTTTGAATATTATATGTTTACAAGATAAAAAGTGAATTTCTTAGTAATAATGTTTGATGTATTTCATTGCGAAATGAAAAATCTTTTCTTTGTATTTCTTTTTTAATTTCAAAATCACTTCACTTTTGTTTTCCAAAATATTTTTTCTAAACGACTCATTTCTACCATTTCAATTGTAGCATTATTTATTACTTTCTATACTTTCATCACTTAATTTTTTTCACTTTTTGTTCACCGAAACAATAGCATTATCTGCTTATCGATTCAATCTTATTATTTATTACTTTCATTTAAATTTTAGACTAAAAACTCTTCCTAACAATCGAAAGAGTGGAACACTTAAAAATTCTTCAGAATGTTTCTAAAAAAAAAAGCAAAGAAAATAATTATATCAGTATCTATGCAGCAAATAATTAAAAAAATATCTTATATAACCATATAATGTTTGATATATTACTAAAATATGTTTAAAATAATAACCCGTTCGGCCTACGGTTGTGGGTGGGGTCTTGGTTGGGTCCTTAACCTTATACGAAGCGGAAAACTTAACTGCAGTTTAAAACATTCAGCTACAGTTAGATCTGTACATTAGATATTGCTGAAGGTAGAATTGGTAGTTGATTAGTATTCGATTATTTAACGTACAGCGTTTTCTCGTAGATTGCCACTAGTTTTAGGGTAAGTAAAAAAACTTAACCGCTGCTTTACTGGAAAATAATTAAATGCCGTTTCTTTTCGAAAACTTGAGGCAAGATATGTACAAAATGCAGTGCGCTGCCGAGATCAACTACCAAAGCTTTTATAAAAAAAAAAAAAAAATTTTAAGTTCAAATATACTCGAAAAAGCTGTAAAATAAGAATATTCAGTTAACTTCGAATTTCAAACATATTAAAAAATTCCATACGATATTCAGCTATCATCTTTAAATGGTGGAACGAAATTTAAAGCTCGTCGTTTTTTACCTTTCCAAATTTCTGTAATTTAATATTTTCTTGCTTTTTCCTCTCCCCACTCCAGGTATATTGAGATCTTTCGCAGTTCCTTGGCTGAATTGAAACGGGCTGCTAAAGGTAATGGGCGCAGTGGTCCGTATGATTTGAAGGATCGTGGCAGCAACCGTGGTAATGATTATGGCGGCGGTCGGAATATGCGTGGTGGCAATGGTGAGCAGTTGACAATCTTTATTTTGTACAATAAAAAAAAATTTTACGAATCAAAAATGGGAAATTTCTATTCTGCACAGACTGGGGTAATAATAATGGTGGCCCATTTGGTATAGGCGCCAACAATTCTCTGGGCTTCAACAATCTGCCAAGTTTCACAAATTCCGGTAACTTCGGTAATAATTTTGGTCCAAATGGCAATGGCGGCGGCAATGGCTTTGGAAATGGCAATAATGGTGGTGGTTTCGGTGGTTTTGGTAATGGCAATGGCAACGGCGGTAACTTTGGTAACGGTGGCAATGGCGGTTTTGGCGGCAACAACCGCTTCAACAATAGTGGCGGCAATTTTGGCAATGATTTCGGCGATTTTGGTAATTTTGGCAATAACCGAAACTTCAGCAATGGCGGCAATTTCGGTAATGACTTTCCGAATGGTAATAATCGCAATGGCGGTGGTAGTGTAGGTGGTGGATCAAATAATGGTGGTAGCGGTGGAAATTTCGGTGACAATTTCGGTAACTTTGGTAACTTCGGTAATAACGGAGATGGCGCCGGTGGCAATTCCGGTATGGGCAATATGAGCGGTGGTTTTGGTGGCAGCAGTTCCATGAGTGGGGGTAGTGGCGGTTTCGGTCCTATTGGTGGTGGTCGCAATGATAGCGAGTATTTCACCATACATATGCGTGGGCTGCCATATCAGTCGTTCGAAAATGACATTTTCAAGGTGAGTGCGGGTGGAATTTTGGGACGTATTTTTTTTTTTTTTAATACACAAATGAAATATGTTCTTATTTACAGTTCTTCGATCCGATACGCCCAGCAAATGTACGGGTTAATTTCAATAAGAAGGGATTGCATAGCGGCACTGCTGACGTCTACTTTGATACATACGAGGATGCTCAATTGGCGATGAAAAGACATCGCGAGCAAATGGGCTCACGTTATATTGAGCTCTTCTTTGATGGCAAAAGCAAAGTTGGTAATAATGGTGGCGGTGGCAACTACTCTCGTCGTATTTAAATTTATATCCAATAGAATGAGTTCATTTTCCACTTGACACTATTGTATTTCTAAAATTAACTTCTAACCAGTTCCCAGGAAGGGAAACAAATTACTTAAATGTACTAAGAATATTATGTGAACCATAATTATGATAAATTCTAACTACGGTCGAGATTTTTCATCAATCATCGTAGTTTCTGAAACATTATTGTATGCATTACAAAGGTCGTGAAACAGTAACGGGTCTACATATTAATGTTTAATTACTATTGTGTTTATACTGTAAGTCAATTCAAAAATATGGAAACCTTTAACCATAATAAAAAACATATATATGTATATATATATATATATGTAAGTTTTATTTTACAAAACTACGAAGTAAGAATTTTACATCTCCTTGTGAATGGCCACTGGCAGTAGGATACACACAGATCGATCTGACATATATCCTGGCTACCTTTACATTTCTTGGTTTAACGACTAATCGGCGCTCCAGATAGCATTAATAACGGATAATCATTTCATAGGCGTTTATCAACTGTCAGTCGACATTCACAAGAAAGGGTGTGAATTTTTATTAATCATACATAAAGAAAGCTTACATTCTACATAATTTGTTGTAAAATTGAATACTTCAACGCGCACAACACTTGGTTATTCCTTATTGTCAGTACAATGCGATCCGATTTTTTTTTGTTCATTTATTGAAAACATTCAATTTTGTTAGATTTTATTTATTTGTTTTTTTTTTTTTTCCAAGTACTTATGTGTAATTTGTCAAGCTGGCGTCCTAAAATTGTTAATATTTAATGATTTGAATACAAAGTCTACTAAGTTTAAACTCTAAATAATTTTTTAGTGAGCATACAAATCATGAATTTTATTAAAAAAAAAGTATTGCAGTGTAGATGAAATACTGTAGAAACCATAGACAAATTTCTGATTTAAAAAATTAAGAAATAATATTAAACCATGTTCTAATGACACGAACAATGAATTTTTTAAATAAATAAAAAAATGAATCCTTTTAAGTGGAAAAAAATATTAATTTCAAACAAATTATATTATGTTTGGAATGAAAAGGGATTAATTTATTAATGCACTGATTTTTAATAGTAAGTATATGACAATACTGGTGAGCTTAGAACGTAACATTTTGCATACTCTCTTTGTAGAATGCTGAGAAAAAAAAGATATGCGCACTACGTATGTAAATGGATGGTGAGTAATTCTTATAATTTTCTATTAATTATATTCAATTTTAGAGCATACTTTTAGGCGATTTACATGAAATGGATAGGTAAAAAATTTTAGTTTGGGTGGTATACTACATATGCATATATATTTACAAATACTTTAATATTTGCTTTTCCATTACAGATGATTGCATTTACATGCGCACAGTATATGACGAAGTGTAAGATACATATCTAGCAAACAAACTTTTGTATTTTCGTGAAATTCGAAGTGGCATATTTGACAAGGTGACACAGTTAAGCTCTTAGAAAAAGTTATTGGTGGCTGACACAGTTAAAACTGCTTTAAATTATTACTGACTCAAAGTCTTAAGAACCATCGTTGATGCAAATAAACCTTCACTAAAAGCTCATTTGAATTTTTATTAAAGCCTGTGAGAAAAAAAGGTTTGAAGGTATCGAAGTTCTCTCCGAGGTGGCAAAAGTTTTTGCTTTCGAATTTGAATTCACGTTATTTATTTTTTAAAAACAAGTACAAGAAATCTAGCCAAATGGGTAAGCAGTGCGCGCCGGTATTTATGGCTTGCAGCACCTGCCAGTATATGCCGTTACCAACCGATAGCGACGGTATTTCCGGCATCAAATCAAAGTGTATTATAAATCCGCTCCCCAATGGCTTCCTTAAACGATGAATCCTTTTATAAATTTAGATTGTTGATGAAAATTTGTGTTCGCCCTAGTATGCCAACTCTTTTAAAAGTAAATAAAACCTGCAAATTTCATTAATGGAAAAATTATAGAAATTTATTTGCTAACAAAAAGGCAGTGTCAAATTTAGTGGGGCAATTTAAGCAGCGTTGATATGCTCGTATATCTTTACTATATACATAAATGTTAGAATATGCGTGTTATCAGATCGTATATCTGAAATCAGCGCTATGTGAATAAGATATAAGTAATTTAACTGGCACTTCAGATTTATTATGCGCCTTCTCGATCTGACTTTATTTGCAGAAAACTAATTAAAAGAGCTAATAAAAGAGGGTGAGTTCGAAAACGTCAGTTCCAAAGCAACCATACGTTGTCACGTATTCCTAAATGCAACTGTGCAAACTGTGCATCGCTAAGGCTTGTATTGCTTTATTTTATCATAAATTCTTAGTAACAGCCGCCGACGTCGGAGGGCAAGTTTTTGCGCTGATATTTTTTAAACGTTATATTACTTATTTTTTTGATCTGTTTAATATATTAGTCATTTCACCGAAAGGCAACGAAAAGCGTTCCAAAATGTCAGTGCTTGCAAAGTATTGCTGCAAGGCAAATTTTTACAATGTTATGATGCGGTTTTGCAACGATATTTTGGAACTCGCCCAGACATCTCAATGTCTGAGAGATGAACCTTTTAAGATTTTTGTATCTTGATCAACCCTTGAGGGATTACGTGTTTGGCTATTAATCCATCTTAACATTTAGAAAGAACGATGCTTTTGACTGTTTGACTGCTATATACCTGTGAGTGGCCAGAAGAGATTTTTAAATAGCGTTCAAATAGCTTTAAACAAAGTATTTCCCCAGATGGCCAACAAACATCTGGCTGGCGGTCAGCAAAAGTGAAAAGCAAAGCCTCCTACTCCATTCAAAAATCAAGGAGAGGCTCGGATGAAAAACTCATGCGACGAATGTACTAAAGACTCGGCGTGGTCACATAAAGGAGCCCAAGTTTGGTGCTGGTTCTGGAGATATCATTCACCCTAGTGAAGGAACGACCTGCCACAATTCGTATCAAAGCATAAGTTATTCTACGACTTATAGCCGATTTACGCCCATGACTTGACGAAAGAATGGGAGGATGTGAAAAAATGCTTGCTATGAGTGCCTGATGTGTACTGAAAAGCAAGTTTAACGCCTAGCGGACACAAAGAAGATACTGTAGTCACAACAGTCGGAATATTCAGCCTGCATGACGAAGCATTCCCCAAGGGTCTGAGACTGATAGAAATCGCTAAGGCTCAAAAAATGGTTGTACCACCAGTTTACGTCGCAAGAAAATTGATCACTCTACATGACTGTCACTGGATCGAAAAGCGTGCAAGCTAATTGATCTTGTTGTAATAGACCAAAGACATGCTTCAAATGCTCTAGATGAATGAACGCTCAGAGGATTTAAGATCGATTTGAATCACAAACGCAGCAAGAAAAGCCATCAACAAGCACAAAACAGGTACGATGTCGGCTAACACAAGGGCACCCAAAAGGGTCTCTGCACGACTTAGAATCCTTTTTTTTTTGAGCGCATCAGTAACTTGATTTAAGGCTCCCTACGTACTACCGGTGTAAGTGTTGAAAACTTGAGAAGCTCGCTGACAAGGAAATCGCTCAAAATGTCTATGAAAATATGCTGGGACTTAGAGAAGACTTCAAGACCGGAACATACTCGTATCAGTATACTGAGTTTGTGGAGACTACACTTCTCTAGCCTGCTGAATGGCAGTTAAAATGAAACATCGAGAGATGACGATAAAAGACACGTTCCATTGCCATTCCATTCCATTGCTGAGCTATTTAAAAATGGAGGTGATGAACTGATAAAGGGCATGCATTAGCTTAATCAACAAAACGGATGACGTTGCAGACCATTTCGTCTCTCTAGAAAGCACCTCAAACATCAAAATCAACTTGAGCATTTAAACCGAACGCTGAATCAATAAACAGGTACTCAGACCAAGTGGTGTCCTCCGGATGGATGTTCTCTGATGGAAGCTAAGGAGAAAAATCTTCATATGGCTTTCACGCCATAATATACATATGTATATTGTAGAACGGGAGCTCTACCTATAACGGCGACATAAGTAAATACACCTGGGTATATACATACATACACATATATAATTACTGCTAGTAAATATTTTATGATTATCTTTTAATTTTGTGGTTTGCCGTTTTTCGTGTGGCATGCCAAACACGTTGGTGCAGTCAATCAGGTGAGCTGTACATATGTATGGCGGTTAGTCGATCAGTGGGTATGGCCGGTCGATTGGTCATGTGAGCGCATGATTGTAGCCGTGAGGCACGTGTGTCTCTTTGCATTTCAATTAAATACGAACATACCTACATATATATATATATATATATATTTGCACTTATAATTCGCACAAAATCGCCATTATATGGTTATGGACACTTATATATATCCGAAGGAATTAACAAAAGTTCGATAAGTTGATTAGAAAGAAAACAAAAATTTGTTTGGTGTTTATTCGTAATTTTGGCTTGTTTTTATCTTCTCCACATAATCGCCATTGATTTCAATGCATTTCTTAAGCCTATCGAACCACTTTTGAAAACAGTCTTCAAAATCTTGCTTATAAAGCTCATCAACTTCAGCATTGACCGCATTAATTATCTCCTTGTTGCTATTAAACACCTTTCCTTATAATTTTTTTTTTAATTTTTAGAAATATCCAGAAATCACAAGATTCTATATCCGGTGAATATGGTGCTGGATGTATTTCTTCGAACCCAGAGATCGCAATTGAATTACTCGTTATTTCAGCGCCACAAATCTATCTTTCTTCCTGGTTTTCCAACAAATTTTAGGTGCACCATTTGGGAGTTACCGTCTGACCCTTATCCAGTAGAATTGCGACTACGATTTTAGATCAGGTGAAGTAAACTGACATCTTTACTCTTGCTGCTGATTTTTGTTGCTTAGATTTGATGGGTGGGCTTGCTACAGTTGGGCTCCATATCATGTACTGCTGTTTGATTTCTGGATCGTGCTTATTGAACCAAGATTCATCACCAGTAATGAGTTAACTAAAGTTGCTAGACTGATCATTTTCGAATTTGTTTAGGAAAAATTGAGCAAAATGCAGTCGAGCCTCTTTTTGGGCCTCATTTCAAATTCGTGGTACCCAGTATACTTGTTCGTGTATCTCAGATGTTTACTTAATATTCGCGATGCAGCGATGGCATTCAAGCCCAATTCATTAGCAATCATTTCTTGTGTCAATTGTGAGTATTCGTCAATTTTGGACTTCATCAGAGCCACAGTGGAAGATTTTGGCCGACCTTCTCGGCGCTCGTTTTCTACTTTTTTCCACTTAGTCTTTAAAGATAATGCCATGGTCCCATATGCAATTTGGCATTCAGGGAGTAATTGTATTGGCTGTAAATTACGCCGAAACCCGAAGAGAAACACACGGCGAATATCTGTTTGCATTGGTGGTGGAATTTCGTCTGGCCCATCCTCAGTTGTCTTGCGTTTTCTCGACTCCATTTAAGCCGATCGTTTTATAATTCGAAAGGAAGACTATCTTTAACAAAAACCAATTGAAAGTCACCAACTGATCGAACTTTTGTTAATTCCCTCGCATATGTATATATGTATAAAGTGGTAAAATGTGCGTTTGGGGTTTTTTGCTGACAAATGTGAATGTGTTTGCGTGTTTTTGCGAATTTCTGCCTGCTGCCGCTTATGTTTTACAATGTTTTTGACATTTTTCTTTTGTTGTTGTTTTTGTGTTGAGTTTTAGTCGTAAAGTCTACAATAACAAGAAATAAAAAATTTTAAACAAATTAAATACAAACATATTATAGCTACGCATGCGTTCAATACCAGTTTAATTGCCTTGCTGCGTGTCGTGAAGGGCATAACTTATCGTGAAATTCATTGCAATTCTCAATTTAATATGAAAACATTATTTTATGCGCTGTACATTAAAGCCAAAAACTATTAAAT